ACGCGGGCGAAGCCGCTTAACGGTCATCGACTAATTAATTTCATATATTTTTCGACAATTAATAATCTTTATATGCTTTTGTGATTTTGTCTTCTTTTCTCCTCATCCTTACGTACACTCTTAAACATAAATAGCTATCGATTGAAAAGATTTTATGAACGTTTCATTAGTATTGGAGTAATCAACCACTATCTACATCTTTATGTGGACTGATGCAATCACTGCTGCCGAAGCGATGGAACGATCGTTTGAACTTATATCAGTTTACGAGGCTTTCCCAAACATTATTAAAAGTGAATAAACCGGAAACTGCATTTAAATAAACATTGCACGTTTTAATTAGGTTTTTAGAAAATGCAACAGTGCGGCAGATTTATAAGCAATAGTCACAAATTTAGAATGTGTGAGTTAATGTCTATGTTAAGAAGTGCACTTGGATTGAATTACTTTAAAAAAATCATTACTTACATTATAAAAAATCAACAATACCTGCATAAAATAACGTAATATCAAGTCCGCCTATGTACACTTGTGCATGAATTGTTTAAAATGAAATTGTATAATATATTAAATAAATAAATATATTGTATAAATAGTTCGTTCGTGACTTTTGTGTGATTTAAGAATCAATCTATAATTGTAAACAATTCTTACGTAAGTCGTTCTTATCTTATTCCTAACATGTCCTAACATAATGGCAAATAAACCTTATCTTTAAATGATTAATTTACCTTTATAAAAACCAAAAATAAATTATTAATTTTCATTTAAACTTTAAACGAGATACTTTATAGTTGATAGACCCAATGCTCCCAATGGCCCGTATGTATTTGTTTGCAACAGATTGGTTTTTGGCAACAATCCAGCAAAGCGCTCCATTCGAACCGAAAGTAAATCTTCGCTTCATTACCTCTGCCTCCGCTTTATCTGTGTATTTTTGCTATCCATTTGAGTTTTTACCGAAACATTCACATTAACAAATTTACATCCATTTATTGAAAACTCAGCGGCTATTTACTTAGCGGCATCTTGAAAAGGAGAAAGTTATGCACAAAGATTTGTTGTGTTAAATTCAAAACACGTATTTGTGTTTAATTGAGAGTCTACAAACAAGTTGTTAACAAAATTGTGATTTTTAATACACGTGTAGAACTCATTTAGATTAAATCCTATTGTTTCTCAAACTATTTTAGATGCAAACTATAAATTTATAATTAAAATCGGTGTCTGTGACTTACGTTTTATTTAAACCTTTTGTATAAATCAAAGCTTCTTGTATTCTTATGTAATCGTAATTCTTCTTGCACGGAAAATGATCGAGGTAATGGTTTATCGAATTTGCGCTTAATTAAATTACGTACGTAATCAAACAGGAACAAATGCGTATATAAACAAATAAGGAGCAACATCTGGATATCGTCTTAGCGGAGGTACAAGTTAGTGCCAAAGAATTGGAAATGGTATTATATGTTTATTTTATGTTCTTATCTTGCATTGAAACTATTAAATATAACTGCTTCCAAAGTCATACTGAACGAAAATTTTATTTCCAGCAAAAATGAGGAAAATAATCCAAGAGTGGCCGAGATAAAAAAAAATAATTCGTCTTATATTTAGTTACCATTCAAGTTAAAGAAATATAAACTTTTTTTTTAATTTATTGCTATACCATGTTAAGGAGGTCTTCTGTAATTTGATAGTTCGTATTTGGAAGTTCAATTTCGCTGGTAATAGCAGTAATATTGCGTCTGCCGGTTTGTCCAGCAGGTGCGCGCGCGCAATGATTTCGCTACGAGTTTCCGACGCCTCGGGCTCTTGTGTCAATGTCAATGGAACTATTTATTCTGATATTGAAAAAGGTTATGTTTCAATAATGCTATAAATCGGACTATTCATATTTCATTAAAGTTAAATAAAAGATTAACCCTAGCTGTGCCACATCGTACAACATTTTAATAAAACTCGTGGTCGCAGATGTCTAAGGGTTTATTCTTAGGCACTGTATAATTGTTTGGTAATCGAATTGTGTAACGTAAAATTATGTGTAATGTAAATACATTATAAATCATATAATATTCATTTACAAAATGTCCGTGGAAATAAACAATACCGTTAAAGCAATTCATATGGAATGACATCCATGTAAATATTGTATTGTATAATATTGTTCGTGATGTAAACATTGTGATGCATCTTGGTAAAGCTTGCGGTTCCTCTATACGACAGTTGATTTAGATGATACCCAAGAGCTTAATCGTAAAATCGTGCAACTGAACTATACGTGTTTGCCTTAAAAATGATCGGTGTTGAAGTATTGCACTCGTTAAGTAGTTCTCAAAGTTATTGTCCATAAGTTTTAAACATATCCGTATAGATAAGAAATATGTGTAATTGATTTAAATGGTCATAAAGCTTAAGCCTAGATTATTACGAGATTTTTATTTAAATCTTCATACACAATTGTACATAAACGGATTTAATGCCTGATACATTCTCTACCGGTCAATTTAATTTAACAGGTATTAATTACGTTTCTACTCACAAGTCTAATACAATTAATTTGTCCAATTTCAGTTTCGAATTTCAGTTTTGAGTTCAGTAAATCAGACTGAAGCTCCATATTATCTAATAGCGCACCCGTAGGGGTTCGTGAAGTGTAGTTTGAGAAGGCCTGATCTATACCAATGTTCGATGCTACCGATGATTATATTCCAGCTCGTTTCTGTAACCTAATCCGTGATAATGTGGCGGGCGGCACGAACGCGGAGTTTACATTACGGTCGAAGGCACCATTGTGTCAAGAATCGTGCCAAACACTAGTTAGTGGGAATATTAAGGTGATTTACCATGTACCTGCTTAAGTTCATGTTAGTAACGGTTCCTGTGCCGTCATACGGTCTTAAGTTAATTATTCAAGGAAATTAGTACTTATGTTGAAAATAATGTCAAAATTTCTAATTACACAAGTATCATAATTAGAATAATTTTTATACTTGTGAGATTTAAATTATTTCGTGGATTCATATGCATTGGTTTCGAAATCAGTGAGTATTTATGTCAAATTTAATGACCAATTTTTAATCACGTTAGTATACCATTTTTAGACAGTTTCATCGCGTTTGTATTTAGTCTTATTGAGGTTTAAAAAATTTCTTTACGAAACGAACGATTTGATTTAATAAATCTCAGTTCAAAATTTGCGTATACAAAAAAATTCTTGAGATTATCAGATGAGAGTCATAATTACTATATTTCAAAACATATAAATAAATTTCCAAAGGCTTTGACGATGTAAAAAGTTAAAGTGAACTAGATTTGAGTAGCATTTGTTTAAGTGTAAATTTACAAGGTTTACTTGGATCGTCAGCGTAAATTCCGAATGCGTGAATCCTCTAAATCGTTATATCAGCAAATATGTTTTCATATCGAAAATTATTCGATATTGAGGGTAATGTTACACGCTGTATAATAAATTACACTATGACTAAATGGTAATAAAATAGATAAATTTACATAACTACGTAATTCTGTAATGGACATCTGGTAAAATTGTATCAACATTTTTTGACAGTTTAAAAGATAATTAAAAACTTTAATTAATTAATAGTTTCCAGGTTCAATCACTTTGATGTCGCTATTATCTCAATTACTGAAAATCCATTACTGACCACGCCAGAAATTATTTTAAGTTTTAAATCTAGACAAAGAACCTTTCTATATAGTACTTCGGAGGTTTTTATTACGTATCGATAGTCGCTTATAGTCAAATCAATGTTGACAAGTCATTAGTTACTGTCACAAATACAATAAAGTTTATCAAGAAAATCATAAGTTGTACATAACTGCAATCGAATTGATTTTGTGCGGTACGAAATGCCAAGGATCTTTAATTAAGAAACTATCCAGTTATCAAAGGAATTTTTAAATCATATACAACATAAATTGAATGTAATCAATAACAGTGTACATACTGCTGTTTACAGATCTGAGTTTATCGTTTAGGATAAATAATTTTAAACATAAAGTGAATCAATTATAATTAGCGTTTAATTAAAATTAACAAACGGTTTATGATTAAATTCTTATAAATATAATTTATGATTGCCCATTCCCCTTGTTTGATTCGATTCCATCCTTGAAGGACTGTGCTCTATTATCAGGGACATTAGTAAGCTAATAATGAGGAGATTTCTTATTAGTTTATGTAGTGTACTTAACTCGATGTGTGAAATAGACTAAGTTTGAATGTTGCTATCAATCAAAAAATGTATTTAAAAAAATAAAACTAAGTAGACATAAATAAAACAAATTACTTCTATTTTATTTAGCCTTTGCGCGACTTCTCATAAAAGACTTCAACGCACTGAGTTCTTGCGACCACCAGTAATAAATATTTTATCTTCAATCATAGAATAATAATGTTTTTTCTTTTGATAAATCGATTTTCCTATTATTTAATGGTTTATTATATATATTAACATGTTCCTTAATCAGTCCCAGTGAATTAAATTTGCATTAAACTTAATATTTCCTAACTTGTTCGTCTTAATGATAAATTTCATTAAAAGAATATTAACTAAATAATCTATTACCTTATATGTCTGTTGAATTCAAAACAAAAAACATTTCTTAATAAATTATTATGTAAATGTCTGTTAATCAACAAATAAGAAATTATTGACAAATGCAATCTGTCATTTTGATGTGTTCAAACGTTATTAAAATTTTGTTTTGTACCTGCCTTTTTCTAGGTAAATAATTGTAGGCAACTAATATAATTTAAAATGCATTTAAAACGGTAGGAGATCATTGTAAACAACAACAATAGCGATAAGTAAGCGGACGTTTAACAATGTTTGACACAGAAACTAATGAGCGATAAAACGCACCGGTGGCGACCTTCGATCTATAAAATGCACTTAATTCCGTCCATTTCATATCTATAAATCGACCAGTGCTTGCTTCCATGCAAATTGAATTAAAATGCAACACGTACTCACCGTGAAAAGACGATCGTATTGAAAATAAACCGAACACCTCCAATGTGCAGTCACAAAACAAAAATAAACAACACAAAACAATAAAAACCAAAACTGTCAGATGAACGACGAGCTGTATCGCGGAACCGAATAAGAAGCAAAATAAATAAACGAAATGTTCCAAAACACCACTTCAATTCACGGTTTATCGGGAGCGAGTGAAGTTTCGCGTTTAGAGCGTTATGTGGCGCGTGCGTTCGACACGCCGGTCTCGAGTAGAATGGTTGGGTCGCAGGTTGGATGAGTTGCGTCGCGATCGCATCCGAACCGAACGACGAGCAATAGCGTGGCGAGCGACGACGATGGACGGGCGACCGCCGCCGCCGCCGGCCGTTTCCGCGCGAGACGCATCGCAAAGGAAAATGAATACATTCGTGTTAATATGATGCATATCGATGATCTCGCGACATCCGGCGGGGACTGCAATCTTGGGCTTTTATCGTAACTTCTAATGGCTAAAACTGTCGCATCGTTCAAGAGTTATTTATGTTTCCAAGTACATGTCGCTGCCATTACTACGGTTGCAACCATAGAAAATTTTGAAAGTCGAAAACAAAATGTAACCACCAAAGTTTTTTAATTGACGTCGTATAACGGTAAATTATTGGATTCAACGACATTTGTGTCAGGGACAATGAATCCCATCTTGTTTTGGTTTATAATGTGAAGCCTTCACTTCGAGGCCAGGGTATAAAGCTCCCCCCCATGCATTAAGAGATTTAAACACCATAAACAAGTCCCTCTAATTAAAAAATACGGGATTGAATTAACTTTTCCGTGATTACGATATTGTGCAGGTATTGCTAACGTTTTTATTATCAATGGATTTTTTCATATATAGGTACTATTTTTTTTAAACGGAAGTAATTATAAAAAATTAAGATTCACTGTACTAAATAAACTTTAGGGGACTAGATATTTTGACATTAATTTTATTTATAAACATTTAAATTACATAAAATACTCTGATTTAATATCGTATGAATTATGACTAAAGATATTATTCTCCATTGCCTGTTTATTGACCATGAGCGCTGAAAGTTATGAATGACATAAAATACATAATGTAAGCTTGGATCAAAGAGTCTGTAATAGTACTAATAAATTGAATGAAACTGTAGACTCCTTTGATTAGACATGAAGAGGGCCGTGCGATGAACAACCCATCGTTTTATATATCACTTTAATATAATGGCAACAGTTTGTTCAAAAGAATTGGCTAAGTGTGTGTCAAACTCCCACTTAAAACTCTACAAATAAACTTAAAAATAAAACTATACATTTAATTTAGCTACCCAAAATACATGACAGATGATTTAATTAAAATTAGAGGAAATACATTATCTTTATCCGAAATCCGTGAGTTTCTTAACCTTTTTACATTTTGTTTGGAGGATTATTGTTTTTAATCAATATTGAATTAAAGAGGAGATTAAAATCTAAAATATTATATTCTTCTTAATGATAAATGCTTAAAAAAATCAATTTTGTCCTTGGCACTGTGAGAACCTTTCGCAATCAAGCGACTGCTCTCAGTCACCCTATTGCGAAAGGTTATTGGTTCGAGTCCCATCTCAGAGTGCCATAGACAAAGTATTTTTTTTAAGCATTTTTCAGTAGCAAAAATATTGATATTTTTTATGTTTTTAGATGTAAACAGACACGCGATCAAATCTTTCCTCTTTATAATATTAGTGCAGATAAATACCTTATGTTTACAAAAAATAATTTTCATACAAATAACAAAATGTTAAACATGGAAAACTATATACTCGTATATAAAGATTATTGCTTAATATTTTCTTATTCTTATTCTTATAAAAACATTTCTTATTTTTGATTTTTTTTAATCTATAAATTACTAAACATAATAATGATTATTGTTTAATCATATTTATTATTATTGTTTAATTATTGTTTAATCATATTAAATAATAAACATTATTACGTTTAGTAATTTATAGATTAAAAAAAAATCAAAAATAAGAAATGTTTTTATAAGAATAAGAAAATATTAAGCAATAATCATTATTACGTTTAGTAATTTATAGATTGAAAAAAAAAAACGAAAATCAGAAATGTTTTTCATTATCTTATCATTATTATGATTTAAAAGTGTTGGAGATACAATTTCCAATTTTAAAGAAAGAAAATAAAGGAAACCAGTAATTATATTTTTCTAGTGCGTGTATAGAATTGCATAGACCAGATAAGTTTATAATTGCACTATTTTCAATTTTACTGGTGGGAGCGAATTTTAAAACAATAGTATATTATATGAAAGTTTATTGTTTATGTTGTGAATTTTAAATAGCATGAGTTTCGATAAGTCGATGGCTTTTCGGATAAATGCTATGAGTTATTAAAATAATTGCATAGACTAACTTCTTATATAAGACTAATGTATCTTACAGATAAAGTATTTGTTTGTGTCAGAAACAGTTTGTAATTGAATTTAAAATAGTTTTCAATTAAAAAGTTTTTCGATGTACTGGCACTAGCGACCCTTACTACTTTCAGGCGGGTGAAACCCACATTTATTTATTGACAAAATTAAATAGGAAAGGAGGTCAAATTTATAAATATTTTTTTATTAATTTAACAAGTTACTTAATTCATAACATTATTAGAATCGATTTACGATTCAAGTACTACAGTGGGAGATAAGTTACCCTTCGGGCGGGGGTAAGAATTAACAGGTAAGAGAGTCAACTTAAATCGCCATTTACTTTATAATATCCCAATTGAATGGTGTTTTTTGACATGTATAATAATTTCTCATTCTAGTGACTCAAGCGAGTATGAAGATTCGTGCACTATTTAAATAAATGGTGGGGCGAGTGTTTTACTATTTCAAGTGTTTCTTTTATGTGAGGTTGTGTTTTTTATAAGTTCTGTTAAGCAAAATATCGGGCAAGAGTATAATTAGAATATAGATTATAGATTTCTATATGTCAAGAGGGTTTTTTGTTTGATTATAATCAGAGTGTCTGACAACTGGCTGTTACAGACGGATAGACAGACAATCTCACAATAACATAAATGCAAAAATGATCATTCGATATTTCTTATGGCGGTATATATTTTTCCGAATTCATAATTTTATGACCTGCTCTATGTCTTTCCCTCGTATACAAGCGACAAAAAAATAAAGTATTCTATTAATAAAAATTGTTTTCCGTTAATAATCTCTGCTTTAAATCATGACCGCCCGCTGTATTCGAAATAAATTCCTATAAATGTTATATTCCGTCTAAAAAACTGTTTTTTATGAGTACTTACTTAAATAGAGCATAATATTCGATTGATTGATCTTAAAAAGATTCCAATTCGCCTCAAAAGGTTTTTAAAAATAAATAGTAGGTGTGATTTGTGCTGAATTCGACCACTAATTGAACACAATGAACTTTCCTTTCAAATATAACAAAAGCTTTCCAATTACTTGATTTTGGGGGTGTTTAATTTTTTCTTTAGCCTTGCCCTATTTAAAAGAGTCACTTTCCTTATGCCGGTCCAATTTCTTCTGTGTCATCTGAGATTATCTGGTGTATCTTTTGTTTTACCGCAAGGTCGTTAGCCTCAGTTTGCGAATTTATCTATGTCCGTTGGTTTATCGCTAATTTCCCCGTTGACCATGAACTAAGTTCTTGAGTTGGAACTTAAGCTAATTTAACTTAACAGTAGTAGTTTTGAGTATTTGATTTCGTGATTCCAATATATATACACGTAGATTATCTACTTTTTAAATGTTTCTTTCCCTAATAGTTTTATTCGAATTGTTATAAGCATAACACAAACGGAGCTTTTTCTTTTTACAGTAGGTATTTATAAAAAAATAGCCCACCTTTTCTCACGTGCGTAGGTAATACGCTTATCAGCGTGCATCATTTTTATTTATATAGATAAAGCAGTCGCCTGATATATCGGTCTTGATGAGTCTTCCAAGTTACATGTTTGTTTTTTTATTCATTCATGTTACTTGTACTGTTTGTAATGGTGCGATTTTATCCGACACCGTGCTCTTTGTCTGCGTTTTGCACCTTGTTTATGGGACTGCTTAGGTATCTTAAGTTTTTGTATATGGTTTGAAATGCTTTTATGTTCCTTCTTATCTATACTAATATTATAAAGAGGAAAGATTCGTTTGTTTGTTTGTATGTATGTTTGTTTAATTGTTTGCATCGAATAGGCTACTGGAGCAATTTTAAAAATCTTTCTCTTACGGGTAGCTACGCCATACGGAGTTGAGATAGTTTAAGTTTTATAGTAATAATTCTATAAATGTTTTGGATAAGTTTATACATATACATAAAAACATTAACTATTTGTTTTTTATTTGTATACCTACATTTATTTACACTGTGTTTTTTTTGTAACGACAGTATTTAGTTTGGAATACTACAAAATAACTGCTATACAAGCCTAATCCATCATCTAATATTTGTCCTCGGCCTGCGTTTAGATATAAGTTCATATTTTAGGGGTTAAAGCTCAATGTTATTTCGATTTTATATGTTACTTATTTCGAATTTGTTTTCTTTTAACATATATCAATCTGGCTTTCCGAGTTACATTTTTTAAAATAGTTAAAAAAATGTGACTCAGAGTATTAATTAATTTAATAAATCTATTCTGACCCTCGTTTTATAGAAAGTTTTATTCAAATTTTTCAGTTGGTCCTCACATGTTTTAATTGGGATCACCTGGCTTGTTTTTAACGAGCATCAGTTGTCCTGTTAACCTTGAACTTGATCCTATACCTATGTACCAGTGCCTAAGCAGAAATAATTTAGAACGCGTTTCGTTAATTAATTACTCAAGGGCCATTTGAGTAACACAAAATTTTCTTTGATAATTCTTCTTATTGTTTTCTAAACTCATACCTTTATATTATATTCTCTATTTAATCTTATAGGTACTGCTGTAAACAATACTAGCTATAGCTATCGCCTGCGTAAATAGTCTGTGTGGTGTAGCTTATCGTAGGTGAAAGGATTTTTAAAATCTGTTTAACACAAAAACTCCACTATAGGCGGCGTTAGTAAACAATAAAACACATATACTAGGAACTACTTCGTATTACCACCGCCGTGGTCCAAAACGCGACCGTCAGTATTTCATAAGGCTAACAATTATATAAAATAATAGAAACAAAGTTACTGCCGCGATGCCAAATCGCACAACGTCATCTATTGATGGACGTGAGAATTTTTACATTTTTATAA